TGTGTGTGTGTATGTATGTATGCGTGTGTGTGTGTGTGTGTGTGTGTGTGTGTGTGTGTGTGTGTATACAGTTCAAGTCAGAATTATTAGCCCTGCAGATATTCTTTTCCTATTTTCTGTTTAACAAAGAGCAGATTAGAGTAGATAGTGTTAATAACTCATCTCTAATAACTGGTTTATTTTCTCTTTGTCATGATGACAGTAAATAATATTAGACTAGATATTCTTCAAGACACTTCTATACAGCTTAAAGTGTCATGTAAAGGCTTCACTAGGGTAATTAGGGTAACTAGGCAGGTTAGGGTAATTAGGCAAGTTATTGTATAATGATGGTTTGTTCTGTAGACTATCGGAGACACATATAGCTAATAATATTGAGCTTAAAATGGTGTTTAAAAAATTTTAAACTGCTTTTATTCTTGCCGAAATAAAACAAATCAGACTTTCTCCATAAGAAAAAATATTATCAGACATACTGTGAACATTTCCTGAATCTGTTCAACATCATTAGATGGCTGTCTTCATATAATGATGTCCTTTTCACACACATGACGTGAGCTGATCGTAAGCTGTTACCACAGGGAGGACGGGGCAGCGCGCACCTCTAAAAGAAGTCTACTTTAGTGAACAGACTAAATGCCATGAATAACAGCTAATAAAGCTGTAAATAACATTCAATTTGTGGCACCGAGTGATCGTTTGGGAGCCGCCCGGGAAGTAAACCGCTCTTAGCATTGAAAATGAAACCGAAAGCGCACACAGTGTTGCCAGATGTAGCTGACCGGTTCCAGCCCAAACAGTATCCAAAACCAGCCAAAATGCAAAAATACCCACTAGGGCTGTGCAATTAATCAAAAATCTGATTTCGATTTTGGCTTGTGACGATTATGAAAAGCCATTAATCGAGATAAACGATTATTCCATCACGTACCGCTCCCTTTCCAGTTGTACACGTGTGAAAACTCAGCTCAGTTCCACGTGAAAATGACTGAAAGCATGTGCTGTAATGTAACTTTTACAGCACGAGATGCGCATCATTCATAATTTTAAAAGCGCAAAAGAGCACATGCTGTTGTGTGTGTGTGCCCGCCGTGCTTAGCCTCGGACAGCACAGCACACACACATCTAACGCGATCTTAATGTGAGCGCTTTAATGGTGAAATACATGCACACTTGTGTTAGAGCGCGATGTTTATTGATTATTCATATTAACCCCTCATTTGTTTAATTAACACACAAGTTGAGAATCAAAAGAGAAACCATATCAGAGCCGCACTATTCTTAAAGTGACAGCGTGCGGTATTCCTGCTGCTGCCGACTGTTTTCATTATTAATCAATAATAAAATCAAAAATACAGTGAAGATGCTTAAAGCGCAGTTTAAACAAAACAGATTTAATAACTCATTTCTAATAACTGATTTCTTTTATCTTTGCTATGATGACAGCACATTATATTTTACTAGATGTTTCTTAAGATACTATTATTCAGCTTAAAGTGACATTCAAAGGCTTAATTAGGGTAATTAGGCAAGTCATTGTATAACAGTAGTTTCTTCTGCACACAATCAAACATATATATTGCTTAAAGGGGCTAATAATATCGGGCTATTAAAATAGGTTTCAAAATATTCAAACCTGCTTTTATTCTAGCTGAAATAAAACAAATAAGCCTTTCTCCAGAAGAACAAATATTATAGGAAATACTGTAAAAAAAAAAACCCTCTGTTAAACATAATTTGGAAAATATTTATAATATAACAATAAATTCACAGGAGGACGAAAAATTTTGACTTCAACTGATAATCATTTTGAATAATCGTGATTACAATTATGACCAAATTAATCGTGATTATGATTTTCCCC